CGTAGCTACAGGAGACGTGGGGCTTTAAACAACCTTACCTGGAACAAGCATTCAGGTGCAGCGTGGGTATTGACAATATCTGCATTGTCAAAGATAATTGATTTTGAACTAGGATTTATATTGTTTTGATCTAAAACTTAGATATAATGCGCTAAATCGTGTCTTACACTAGGATCTAGTTCGTTTTAATCTCAAATGTAGACGTAATAACTTCGCACAGTGCTTCAGCCCAGAGGCATCCAGGCACCGCAGCCCAGGCACCGCAGCCCGGGTGCGGTGAAGGGGTCAGGGGCAAGGGTTCGGTGTAGGGTTTAGCTGCCATCGCCATCCGGTTGACAAGGGTTGGAGGTTTTTAGGATTTTGGCTGAGGGTTTAGTAAGGGTTTAGGCACAAGGAGCTCGCCCCCGCGCTGCCGCCTTCTAGGGTTTCGGGTTTAGGTTTAGGAGTTGAAATGTAGGGCTCGGTGTGTGTTTCAGTTAATTGGTCTGGGATCCACCTAGACGCCGGGAGGTGTGGTTTTGGGTTTATAGGGTTTAGGGTGCGTGGTTGCCGATCAGGCAGCTGCCGGGGGGTGTGGTGACCGTTCAGGTCGCTGCCCTCCCTAGGGGTTTAGGTTTTCCAGGGGTTTGACGGGGAGGTCTAATTTAAACCCAAAACCCTGCAGGTTTTAATGTCGGGTTTGAGGTATTGGGTCTAGGGTTTCGGAGCTAGAACCCTAAACTAAAATTCTTGAACCCTGCAGAATTGTGTACTTCAAACCCCCAAGCCCTTTGTAAGGTGCCCTAAACCCTGTCCAGGGAACCCCGCAGAATTATGTACTTTAAACCCCCAAGCCCTTTGTAAGGTGCCCTAAACCCTGTCCAGGGTTTCTGCGGGTGCCAGGGTTGGGGTGGTGGGGGGGGGGGCCGTTGGAAGGTTTGGGGGTCCTTTTGCAACTTCTTTGAAAAGTCACGCCAGGAACAAACCTAAACCCTAAACCCTCCTAAGCCCTAAACCCTAGACCGTCCGAAACCCAAAGCCCTTCATGAAAGCCCTCCCAACAAACCCCCCCCCCCTACAAAGGAGCGACCTGAATCCTGCGGAGTTGAGAGTCTTAAGGGTTTCGGGCCAGGGCTTAGGGACCCAAACCCCGAAACCCTAAACCCTAACCCGAAACCCTAAACTCCCTCGGCAGATACATCGTGGCGGAGTTCTTCGCAGGTCGTCGGACCCAGCGCAGGATGGCGCACCTCGTCGGGTCATAAGGGTTGAGGTCTGGCGTTGGGGATCTTGGGGCCTTAGGATGTTGGGGTCTCAGGGTCTCAGGATTCGAGGGTCTTAGCCCTAATAGCCCCCAGCCGAATTTAAGCCAAACCCTAACCCCTAAATCCTAAACCCTAAACCCTAAGCCCTAAACCCCCCAAACGACCGGCAGACCCTATAACTGGAACCAGTAGTGTTTTGGTTTAGGGCAGAGGGAACTTTTAAATAGAAAACCCAAACCTTAACTCTAAGGCTATGATTCAGGGTATGTTTCGGGGTATGTTTGGCGGGCGGTCACTCAAGCTTAGAGTTTGGGGTTGAGTTTTTGTTTTAAGGCCAAAGGGTCGATAGCAATTGGTTGTAAGAGGTTTGCGGTGCCTCGGGCTTTCATAATGACATCCTAAAGGTCGCCGCTGCATCAGCGGGCCGTCCGGCAGGTCGCCACTCCATCAGCAGGCCCGCGGGATTGTGGCCCTTGGGTCTTGTCGGGTTTAGGGTTTAGGGTTTAGGGGTTAGGGTGATCGCCAACTAAACTTCCCTCAGCATGACTCTGCTACTCAAGCCGCTGGGGGAATTTCAAAGCCATGTGCAAGGCTTCTCTTGTAACCCTCGACTGCCTAAACTACATGGAAACCTTATCATATAAACCCGGAAACCTAAACCCTAAACCAGAAGCTGCGACAAAACGCTTCTAATGTGGTGCTTATGCAATTAACAGTGGACCTTTCATACAGAGAACTCCTGTCTTGCAATTGTCGTAGAAGAAACATGGTGGCTGCCTAGATCGGCCATCTTCTTCGCTGCCATGCCACCCAAGGGGTCTAAATCTGACCCGGCCTCTCCAAAAAAGCCGGAATCTGCTGCTGCGAAAAAGGCTGCCAAAAAGGCCGCCGACAAGGCTGTCAAACAGTTTCTTCCGAAAAAAAGAACACCTTATGCAATCTTCGTGTCAGAGCAGTACGCACGGATTCAGGACGATGTCAAGCGAGAGCAAGAGGCCTCGGGGTCAGCAGATCAGAAACGTCCACAACGTCTGGCATTCGACCGCATCGGAGACGAGTGGAAGCGCTTGGGCAAAAAGGGCCAAGAGCCATACCAGAAGAGGGCCAAGGAGGAGGAAGCCGCGTTTGCTCGAGCGAAGGAGCAACTCATGTCTGGAGGGGCGAACGGCCAACCTCAGCATGGACCTGGCTCAAGCATAGGCGAGTATGAGCTCCTGGACACGGTCTTGTGGAGAGGAACGTCCGTGGCTGCCTATGCTGCACTGCACAAGGATCTTCGTTTCGAATCTGCTGCAGTGGTTTATGAGTCTCAGGCGGACTTCCGACATGAAGTAGGCATCTTGCAGCAGCTCTGGCGGGCGGAAGAAAACGATGCATGGAATTGTGATGTCTTCTTGCGTGTGCAGCAGGCCATCATTTGCAACGATCCGGTGAAATGCATCGTCTTTGAGAAGTTGCCTCGGCTGAGCGACGTGCTGACAAGATCTGGTCCGCTGAGGGGCCACAAGCTGCAGGCAATGGCTGCGCAGTTGGCGCTCGCGGTGACGCAGCTGCACGGACTGCAACTCTTGCACCTGGACTTGAGGCCGCATGCGGCATTCTGGAACGAGCAGGATTGCACCCTGAAGCTTGGAAGACTGACCTTGTGTCAGGCGGAGGCTGCGCTGGCAGCGCAATCACAGGACACGGCCGCGTACACTGGGCTCTACCGACCACCGGAGGTCTGGCGAGGTGCAACTCCATCCAGACGGTCAGAGAGTTGGGCATACGGGGTCACACTGATGGAATGCTTCGCTGGCACACATCCCTTTACAGACATGGAACAGATTTGGAGTTTTGATGCGACGGTGTCTGATTTCCAGGAGCTTGACAAGCGTGTTCCAGCCATGAGCTCGATGCCCCAGGATACTCGTTATGTGTGTCACTTGTTCATGCGGCATGTGTCTGACAGCAGAATGCTGGTTGAGGAGTTCTTGAAGAATCGCCCGCTGCAGCAGAAGTTGTGCCAGCAGTAACAGTACTAGGGCTGGCCTAGAGGACCTGTCGTTCTTCCTGCCTTGGAAACAGATAAACCCAACATGAATGCCAAGCGCTAACCCCAAGACCCGAGGCGCTCACCCTTGAAACTAAATATAATTGTAATAACCGCACCAATCAGAGGTCTTATAGCCTTCAGGGTTTGGGGTTTAAACTTGAAAGGGTTTAGGGTTTAAAGGGTCTAGGGATTGGGTTTTTGGTTTTAGGGTTAGCCCTGGCTAAATTCGAACCCTTTCGAGTGTAGCTCCTCACGCAACCCTAACAAAAGAACCTCAACCCCAAGCCCGAACTCTTTGGAGCCCTTAACCCTCGAGCCCACAAGAGCTCCCTCCGGCAGGTCGCCGCTGCGTCAGCAGCCGCTCCATCAGCAGGCCCACGGGATTGAGGCCCTTGGGTCTTGTCAGGAGGTTTAGGGGTTTATAGAAATTGTATTTAGTTTGTGTCCGGAGTTTTGTCGGGATTTGCCGGGTTTTGTTTCTTGCTTTTGCTGAAATTTGGGGAGGTTTTGTCGGGTGGGGCTGGGGGGGTGGGGGGGGGTGGGGGGGGGGACTGGGAGGCTGGGGGGGCCTGAAGGATTGGGGCTGGGAGCTGTAGGGGCTTGTCTTTCACCATTCAGGGGCTTGTTTGGTGCCTGAAAGCCATGCTTTTGTCTGATGGGGTCTTACACTGTGAAGGATGAAGGGGTTATTGTGTGAGCTGCTCGTAATGAAACGCATACGATATCTCTTTTTCCTGGCCTTGAAGGTTTAGGGTTTAAAGGGTCTAGGGATTGGGTTCGGTTAGCCCTGGCTAAACTCCAACCCTTTCGAGTGTAGCTCCTCACGCAGCCCTAACAAAAGAACCTCAACCCCAAGCCCGAACTCTTTGGAGCCCTTAACCCTCGTGCCCACAAGAGCTCCCTCCGGCAGGTCGCCGCTGCGTTAGCAGGCCCTCCGGCAGGTCGCCACTCCATCAGCAGGCCCACGGGATTGAGGCCCTTGGGTCTTGTCGGGTTTAGGGTTTAGGGTTTAGGGTTTAGGGTTTAGGGGTTTAGGGTCTAGGGTTTAGGGTTTAGGGTGATCGCCAACTTAGCTTCCCTGAGCGCGAGTCTACTGAAGCCGCTGGGGTCCCAGAATTCCAAAGCCATGTGCAAGGCTTCTCTTGTAACCCTCGAATGCCTGAACTACATGGGAACCTTATCATATAAACCCGGAAACCTAAACCCTAAACCAGAAGCTGCGACAAAACGCTTCTAATGTGGCGCTTATGCAATTAACATTGGACCTTTCATACGTTGAGACACCTGATTCCGTGACCTCAGCGAGATGGCATCTGTGCGAGGTCACAGTCCAGAAGGCGCGGGTAAGGTCAGTAAAGCTCGAGTTGAAGCCTTGCTTTTATTGATACTTGTTTGCACGTCCGGTGCACCTGCAGGTGCACATGCGAAGAGATGTCTGGAGAAGCACGGGAGTGTACTGGTCTCGGGTTCTAAGTTAATGTGGCATTTTCAGTTGTAACGCTACGAAACCTGAGGCAAAGCTGTGCATCAAGCGGTGCAACCGCTGCAAGTACATCAAGCATGCTGCTTCCTGGCAAAAGAAACTTGTTTATTCTACCAGCTCCGGGGGCACCGCCACGTGGCTGGTGGAGAGCGACAGCAACAAGCCATGGGGATTGGGGTGCGCAGTTTGCAGAGATGCTTGTGACAACCCGGCTGCATCTGGATCGGCCTTTGTCCAAATGAAGAAGGGTGCAGCCCAATACGAGGTGTGTGCTGTCTTTCGGAAGGGTGTTTCTGCATCTTTTTGTTCTTTCCACAAAAGCATAGCAAGGGAGACAGACAGACAGAGAGAGAGATTAAACAAAGGTAAATTGTAATACAACACGACTACTAACAACTTTAGGAAATGTGTCGCCCGGCTTTGGTCACTAAAACGACAGAAACAACTTTAGGAAATGTGTCGCCCGGCTTTGGTCACTAAAACGACAGAAACTACTTCAGGAAATGTGTCGCCCGGCTTTGGTCACTAAAACGACACGAACTACTTTAGGAAATGTGTCGCCCGGCTTGGATCACTCAAACGACACAAACTACTTTAGGAAATGTGTCGCCCGGCTTTGGTCACTAAAACGACACAAACAACTTTAGGAAATGTGTCGCCCGGCTTTGCTCACTAAAACGACACAAACTACTTTAGGAAAAGTGGCGCCCGGTTTTGGTCACTCAAACGACACTAACTACTTTAGGAAATGTGTCGCCCGGTTTTGGTCACTCAAAACGACACTAACTACTTTAGGAAATGTGTCGCGCGGTTTTGGTCACTAAAACGACATGCGCTACTTTAGGAAATGTGTCGCACGGCTTTGGACTCGCTCCTCCTTGCTTTATATCTCTGTGCGAGGTGCCTATGACCCGGTTCGGGGGTATGCTGCAGCTGGAGGATCTTCGGCGTCACGGAGAGTCGGATGGGCACATTCGGAGCTTGGAGAAGCTGGGACAGCCAGCTGCATCGCCCGGGGGGAGCGAGGAGGACAAGGCAGTGCCGACACCAGCGCAAGTGCGCCTGGCGCTTGAAGTCCTGCGGATGCCTAGCAGCGCGCAGGGTAGGTCCTACGAAGCTCGGTGCGAACTGGCGGGGCGAGCCGATTGCAGGAACTTTCCTGCGGGTCGCTCCTGCGCGACCGAGCACGCGCGAATCATCAGGACAGTTGCAGAGGTGCTGTGGGACGAGGCCCGGCAGTGGCCCGTTGCGTAGACGTGTGTGTGTGTGTGTGTGGGTGGGTGGGCGGGCGGGCGGGCGGGCGGGCGTGCTTGCGTGCGTGCGTGCGTGCGTGCGTGGGTGGGTGGGTGGGTGGGTGGGTGGGTGTGTGTGTGTGTGTGTGTGTGTGTGTCTCTGTGTGTGTGTGTGTGTGTCTCTGTGTGTGTGTGTGTGTCTCTGTGTGTGTGTGTGTGTGTCTCATTTGGGCTTGCGTGCTGATTCAGGACCGCAGGCTGGCCGCGAAGTGCAAGTCCGCTGGCTGGGCCGAGGCGGTTGAGTCTGAACGCTGTGCTGAGAAACAGTCAGAGGCTGGTCACAGGCTGACGTCCTGTGGGTCAGGACGTCAGCAAAGATTCCTTGTGTGTGAAGATGAGACTTGTGGACCACAAGTACCAGGCGCCGCTGTTCAGTGGCATACTTGTTGCAGTTGTATGTGAATAATTGGTAGGCGTCGAAGCCAGGTTCATCACCGCATGTTGGCGCTCTCAAAGTGCCACGGCGTCAAGGCAGGCATGTCAATAGTAATGTTGCTTGCGCAGAACACGTGCAATACCGTGCCCTCGCTCGGAAAAGTGGAGCACATGGGGAGAGTTTTGCAGAAGTTCAGCCCGGACAACCATGAGTCCTTCGCAAAGCTCTTCCAGGACCGAAGTCCAGGGTCTCCTGCAGTTCTGTGGGCCATGCGCGCACCTTTGCAGGTGTACACTGTGGATGGCGAAAAAGCTGAGGGACTGGCTGGGCGCTTTGCTGCCGCCACAGGCTCAGATGGAAGCGGTTCACCGCCAGCAGCGTGTACCAGCCTCGCAGCCAAGGCCAAGGGTGTGTTGCCTTCCTTGAAGCTGTCCACAAGATGCCGGCTGCACTCGGCGCAGCGAAGCTTGGAAAACTCCCTGAAGAGCGACGGGAACATCAAAATCCTGCTAGATGAGTTCGTTATGCGTTTGTCGTCACAAAACAGCAAGGACCCGGGCGGTTTCTGCAGGGCCATTGGCAACTCTCACAAGTTGTTAGCACAGTTCAGCGAGAAGGTGCAATCCCAGCTTGATTGTGTTCTGGGTCCGCAGATGAGCGCTCATTACGCGGCTCAAAGGTTTGACAGTTGCACGAACTGTCTGCAGAAATTGATATTGTGCATCTCTTCGGTTGTTCGATTTCTCTTGGACCTGGCAGCATTGAAGAACGATAAATCAGCGTGGGCTGTGAAACTTCTAGCTGCAACCTGACAGCGTATGATGTATGCCGGTTGGCTCTTGTTTGTCCGTAGTACTAGGGCTCTGTCCGGGAACATGACTCTGACGGCGAGGTACTGACGCCCAGCAACATTCGGCTGCTTGCACTGACGACGGAGTGGCTCAGCTTGGTGTCTCCATTCGTTCATGAGTACGACAGGGGCGCCGCAAAGTCAGAGTCCGCGCCGACCTCTTCCACAGCTCGCATATCCAACTGCTCCAGGTTGTGCGAGAATCTGAAGCAGGACGCTGTAGACTCACTTGTGCGGATGCTGCGTTCCAATGAATTACTGCTTGGGTTCACACAGGATCTCAATCGCACCTTTGCCTTCAAGTCCTTGGACGGCTCCACCGCCCAACGGCCTCTGGTTCTCAATAGCAATTACACGTCCGGGTACCTTCAGATAGCCGAGCAGCAGATGAAAGCTTTGAGCATCTTAGCCTACAATGATAAGAAAACTTCTTGCTGTGAGAACGCTTGGGCGTCTGCAATTCGCATGATAATAAGCTGCCCAAGGCAGCAGCTCGGACATTGCCGTGTACCAGGATGGTCGCCTATTGTTTCACTCTGAAGGCTCGCGAACCCTAAACCCTAGACCCTAGACCCTAAACCCTAAACTCTTAAACCCTAAACCCCAAACCCTCAACTAAACCGCAGGCGTGCCCGACGAAGAGTATGCTGCTCTGCTGGCGCCCGAATTGGGGTCCATCAAGAACGTGTCGGACTTGTTTCTCGAGTCCGTGGAGACTTGGCATCAAGCTGGTGTTGGGTCTGCTCTGAGCCCCTTCGACGTGGTCTGGTGGACGGCCAACAGATCAGACTCCACCCTGTTCCTCGTCAGTCGGCAATGGCAAACTTGCTCTCATTCCCTGGCCGGTGGCGCCTTGCGCGAGCCTGCACGCACTAAGGCCCGAGGTGTTGGATCCTTTGGCCAAGCTGCTGCAGCTGGACACACACGTGCTGCGCGAAGAGTACCTCGTCGCACGACCCACGGCGGTCTTTCTTGCCAGGCGCTGGCCGAGATATGGTAGTAGAGGTTTAGCGCGTGAGGTGGAGCAGGCGGGTTGGGTGGTGCGCAGGTCTGAGAGAGCCTACTGGCCCACGACTATGCAGCGCTTTGATCGGTTGAAATCACTGAAAGCTGCCGTCCTTCACTGAGACCACAGTCTGTGACATGGCATTTCCTTGGAGCACGGGCGTGTGTTTGTGCGTGTGTGCGCGTGGTATTTTCAGAGTTCTCAGGTTCGCTTCATGCTAGCAATCTTCGATGCCACTTCGGAGATCGAGACCAGCTTTAGCACACTGCGGCTGTTTTCAGGCGCATGTTCATGTTCGATGCTCGTTGAGTTGTGCGCAAGCGATTGTGGCGGTTCTCCGTCTTGCAGGCTCCATCAAGGCCAGTATGTCAGAGGAAAACAGGAATTGCTATCTGAAAGTCTTCTGCGACTGCCCGGACCTGGACAAGGTGGTTTTTTTCTCAAAGGGCAATTACCAGCCATCCAGTCTTGGTTTCAAAATCCTGGACAAGTACCGGAAGCTTTATGGTGGGCAAGGTCGGAACACGAGACGGGACCGACTTCCACGAAAGTCCTTCTGCTCGAGGCTGAAATCCAAGGGCTTGGCGTCTTTCCAGAGACAGCGGGACGCACAGCGGCGTTCGCTGCAGCAGCCAGATGCCGAGGAAGGTCTGGAAGACCTTCAGCAAGTCGTTGACTCCGCAGCAAGACGGCGTGCCTCTCCTAAGCAAGAGAAGCTGCGGGCAATACTTCAGGCAAAAGCTGCGGAGCTCAAACAGGACTTCGTTCATGGTCCCGGTCATGGCATTGCCGCCAAGTTGTCAGAGCATGAAAGGAACGTGCTAAAGGACAAAGAGAAGCTCCAGAGGATAGAGATGAGACAATTGCACGAGCAGTTGGAAGAACTAGCCCCGGGACCCTGCACATTCGTCATCCTCGGTTCCTGTGTCCATTTGAAGACGCGTGCGAAGAAGCAGCTGGCCCGGGTATCTTCGTTTGCAGGTTCTGTGTTCTACAGTGCCTCGGAGTTCTTGAATGGCGTAAGCCAGGAGGTTGCCATGGACTGCAAGCGGCTCGTGTGGGTGTGCGTGGAGCCGGAAACCTTCCAAAAGGTTTTGGGGCCCCAGAATGGCGTCGAGATTCCTGCGGCCGACGCCCAGGGAGAGTGTTGGAAGGAGGTTTCAATCATCCTGGCGACTCGCGTGCTTGGCGGGTATGTCGCCAGTGGGCAATGGCCGAGTCTACTTGCCAACCGACAGGACGCCTCTGTCCCCTCCCCGATCATCAGGCTTGGGGCAGCATACGCCCAGCCGCACAACATTTACATGTCCAAGCTGCCGGAAAAGCTGAAAGGATGTCTGAACCACCTCGATGCCATCCTGCGAGGTGGCCCCGAACAAGGGCATGTGCGCTGGGTTCTGCGAGGCAGCAAGAAAGAGTATCTGCCACTTGGCTGCAGTTTGGTTCGGCCAGGGTTTGTTCTTGCTCATTGTAGATGTGCGGGGTCCCTCCCCCCCCCCCCCACTGCTACAGCGGTGACCGGCACGCCCGTCGCATTGCGGGGGGGGGAACCCCCCCCCCCCACAGCTACACCTGATTTTGGGTGGTTTTTTATGGGCCGTGGTCTTATGTTAGCATATTTTGTTGGGCTTTGGCTTTTTGAGCCTTGCCAACATGGTCAAATGGGACGTAGCAGTGCGGGGGGGGGGAACCCCCCCCCCACTGCTACAGCGGTGACCGGCACGCCCAGCGACAATCTTCCACATGGTGAGGGTTTAGGGTTTAGGGTTTAGGGTTTAGGGTTTAGGGTTTAGGGTTTAGGGTTTAGGGTTTAGGGTTTAGGGTTTAGGTTTTAGGGGTGGGAGCCCAGTGCTGCCAAATGGCTTCGTGAGACAACTCAGGAAGTCCCACCAGGAAACCACCCTGCCCCGCACCTTCTTAAGCCTCTTCTGCTTCGATGCCGCATCCTTCCAAACCGGAATGAGGGCTGTTTTGCGCGGCCTTGGCTGCATTCAAGGGGGACGCTATTATGAAAAGTTTTCCGGCTATTCGGCATCCTATGTTTTGAGGTTCGCTATAATGAAAAGTTTTCGGGGCGGGACTGTTTTTTTTTAATGGTTTTGAGGTCCCAAAATATCTCAAAAGCTGCTGAGAGGTGCACAACTCAATATACTTCCTGACCCCTTCCCTGCCTGACTGTTTGGGGGCTCGTTTCATTCAAGCTCCTTGTCTGTTGCGGGGCGGCGGGGTTACATTCTTCAAGCAGGTCCAACATTAGGAAACAAAACCAAACCAAAAAAAAAAGTCGCCCGAGAGCTGCGAATGTAGATTTGGCGGGGGGGGGGGGGGATCGTTGATGGTTTTGTCATGTTTCGGATCAGATTTTGATTTGTTTTGCTTCGGAGGGATTAAACCCTAAACCCTAAACCCGAAACCCGAAACCCTAAACCCTAGACAGGTGGCTTTGACCCACTTCGATGTGTGCGCGCACTAGTCGTGGGGAATCGACCTGGCGCTCAGGAAGGAAACAAAGGAGAAGCGCAACTTATGACATCCTCTGCTCTAGCAAGCTCTATAGTGCATGTGCTGTTGCAACCACTCTGTGCTTTGCATTTTCTCCGATGCATTCTCAGGTTCACTGTTGGTTTGCTCCTAGAGGTTTGGGTCCTGGCGATGTCAAGGCGCAGGTCCGGCGCCAAGAAGCCCGAGGCCGACGCGGCGGGGGCCATGCCGGCTCCTGCTGAGCCTGATGCTTGGCGGGAGTTGCGGCAGTGCGTGGATCGCTTGAAGCAATCCAAGATGTGGGTCGAGAGCGGCGCCGAGCCACTCCCGGTGAGCGGCGTGACAGCGCTGGCCGCTGACTGGCGTGGCAGTGACATTCCACAGGATGCTTTGTGCCCGGGCTCTGACTTAATACATTTTTTGGCAAAACCTGAAGCCTTTTTTGGCCAAACCCGGAACCACATCCCTGAACTCTTTTGCGCATAGACCAACCAGGAATCCGCAGGGCTGCGGCGTGCTCGGAGATTTGCAGTGGTCGTGCCCCGGTCCAGCCGGCGCCGGGGTGGGCCTGCGTGACATCTCGGCCAGCCGTGAGTTTTGGTACAAGGGCGACAACCCGCCCGAGCTGCCGGAAACGATGGTGCTGTTCACAGATGACAGTGCAAGGCTCGGGTTTAACGTTTCAGGGCTTGAGTTCCAGCCCTGCACACCTAATAACGTTTCAGGGCTTGGGTTCCAGCCCTGCACACCTAACCATTGCAGGGGGGACTTGACACCCGTGTCGCGGGTAGTCCAACTTGCTGCCTTCATCTTTGAGTGGGATGCGGCAGTGGCAGCCGGCGAGGAGCGAGCCAAGCTGTTCGCTGCGCGTGCAGCCGCTGCTGGGAGAAAGGGTTTAGGCCTACTGCACGAGGGTTGTTTTTAATTTCTAATAAGGTTGGAGCAGTCCCGAATTTTGAGGCTCACCGCTTCAGCTTCATTCGGGCCAGCTCAGACTCGGTGGAGTCTTGGTGGCTTGTTCATCGCCGCGGAGAGGAAGTAATACGAACCTCGAGCGAGGCACTGAAAGGGTTTCGGCTTGGAAGTGTCCTAATTTCTCGGGGGGGCAGGGGGGAGCTCCCCTCTCATCTCCTCTCCCCATCCCCTCTTCCCTCTCCCCTGTAACAACTCCAAGACAGACACATATGCAAAACACCGAAAAACACAGATAAATCACAAAGGAATTCAGTCCAGAAATTCAGGTTATCAGTTTAGGGTACAGGCTCGGGTTCCTGCTACCAGCGTTTCCCACCGCCGCGGCCAGGAGGGGAATCATTTCTCCTGCAGGTTGGCAGATCGTCTCTTCATGCCCCTCGTCAGCATGTGGCCTTGCCTTCGCTTGCCATGCACCCGCGGCTTGTGACACAAGCTCAAGCCAAGGCTACAGAAACTTCACGAATCGCTCGGTAAGCCTTCGGGCCCGGGCGACCTCTTCGAGGAGTTCCAGGCAGCAGTGAGCTGAGGATGTCAAATCTGCTGTTGGGTTTACCTGACAGGCCCGGCTCAGGGACAGGAAGCTGAGCTTTGCCCACGTAGACAGCAAGGCTGGGCAGTCAAAGAGTTAAATACCTAAAATTTAAAAACTCCCTAAACCCAGAGCTTCTGTGGCAGGTGAGCAGCAAAGACATGATAGCGAAACTTTTGCGGCTGCGGCAGCGCTGCGTGGAAGCAGAAGTCTGGGATGAGTTCAAAATGCTGCAGCACCACGACGACTTCGGCCCCACTTGGGCAAGCCGTTGGAGCATTGCGTGCCGCGTGCTCGGGCTAGCTTCCAAGCCCGAGGAGTTTGCTTGGATGGTTCGTTCCTTGCTTTACAAGGGACTTGCCCCAAACCCTAAAGGCTTGCCCTGAGGGCCCGAGGGCCCGAAACCCCTAACCCCTAAACCCTGAACCCTAAACCCTAAGCCCTAAATCCAAAACCCGAAGCTCAGGATCCTTCGCTTTGGGCGCAAGAACGCCTGCGAAGTACCCCGGCTTCCGGCGCAAGATCTACGAGCTGCAGAAGGAGGACCTC